AGCACCCATGAAGGGGATCTGGGAGATACACCAGAAATTAACTTTAGGGGGCAATGTTGTACAAACAAAGTGGAGGTAATGGGGCATTGGCTGCTGTCAGGGCAGCTCCTTGCCTTATTAGACAGAGCGGAGGTCAAGTCAACTTTGGCACGACTGAGATACTTCGCCATGATTACAATTTCTCCGCAGACAACAGTAAATGTTGTTCCTAGTTCCGCCGTGCCCTCACCGCGTATCCAGAGGCTCCGGGTCGAGCTTCACTCGGGCAACATGCAGTGGCAGATGTGCTGGTGCACAGATGGATCAGAAGATGCTGCCTGCTGGTTAGCGTCTCTCTAAAAGTTATCAAGTAACACAAGCACACAGCGCAGATTTTGTGCTACAGTCGACACGAGCGTTCCAATGCTCTCAGATTCAGTCCGCAGGGCAGCAGCTGGGACTCGTCGTGTCTGATTTCACGAGGCCTCCTTTGTGAGTTCTTTACCTTTCTCATTTCTAGGCCTGCTGAAGCACATCATGCAAGCAGGCTACACTTTGCAGAGCAGCGGAGGCTATCCATTAGTCAATGCCACAGAGTAAAGGCTGCCTCGACGATGGAATCGTGAGAGCAGAGCAAGGCACATAACCGAAGGAGGGTTTTAAACAGAAGTGCACCGGGAATGGTCACCTCTTCTGCTGTGGTCTCTAGTGGTGCAATGAAACAAAGTGGATTTACTTCATTACTGGACTTAAGTACATTTTACACATATCTGTACTTAACCTAAGTAGGTTTATTTTTGTACTTTTCACATTTACTCTGCTACACGTATCAGCAAATAACTGTACTTACTCCCCAATGCATTTTGTAACATTTTGTTCACCTTGCTTTTTATATTTGTGACAGTAATCATTTACTACACTGGAATTGATTAATTGAATTAATCAGAGTGGACGGATAACATTAGAAGCCATCTCCTGCAGCAGCAGCTTTAGGTCATGGTCACACGAGCAAATTTGAAGCATGAAAATCGCAGGTCAGAGTTCACCAAAGCGAAGTCACGCTGCGATTTGCCCCTCTACAGGAAGCAGATGATTGATTTTGCCACCTCACTCACACAGATTGAAAGTGAACGGGAGGCGAAGGTTTTAATGTTTAAAAGCAACTACTTATTTACCTTTTCTCGAGTAGAAAGTGTATGTGGTACTTTTACTTTTTAATTTTTGTCAATTTATTTGCACTTTTACTTAAGTAAAATGTTTGAGTAATTCCTCCACCACTCATCTTCCACTGGCCATCAGCTTTCCTGTGCACATACAACAGACCCTGCACTGCATGTCCTTTTTTGGTCCAAATCCAAGCTGCTGTAATGTAAAGAGAAAGGATCCAAATTAACAAACAGGAAGACCCCTACTGATGACCTCATTAGTGGCCGTTGCCTGTCTGTGCTGAGTCAGCAAATACCGAGCGACCACGCTGCGTTTTCAACAGGCAAATTAACAACACTTCTGCAGCACGACGAGAGCAAAAACTAGATGTTGATTAAGTGCAATTTCATCAAAATTAGTTGTTTAGTTGAGTCTGAAAAGAAGAGACTGTTGCTGATTGTGTTCTGTCTACAGAGGCTGTTTTGGTGACTGGATATCGAAGCAATTAAAAGATCTTATACGAAGAACTTCTACGCTGGATGCTTTTTGTCACTCTTGATCATTTTCATTTGTAGGAAGATTATATTTTATCCAGCACTGACATTGGCAAGTGCCTGCCCCGTTTGTATAATGTCCATACTATCCAGTGTATTTGTGATTAAATACTGAGTGGTGCTCAGCTCTCTGCAGGTAGAACACGCAGTAAGAAAAAGACTTTTGCATATCAAGACAAAGATACATAATCACGGAGCGTGTTTGCAGAGTAAAAACTCAGTGATGAAGTGTCAAAAGCAGTTTGGATTTGATTATATACCCAGTTTAAACTGCTCCTTAATTCAATTACAGCACAGTATGATAATAAGGCCAGAAATGTGAGGATGTGTTCCGGCTGCCTGTGGGAGGGAGAACATCTGCAAGCCTCTGCGCTGAACGCTTTGTGTGCGAGTAATAAAGAGTGAGAGAGATAACGCCATAGGGAGGATAGTGTGCTGAGAGAGCAGTGTGTCAATGCATGTGTGGTGTGAATGTAAAGGGGAGATATGTCTTCATAATATAGCGTTGAAAATCCATTCAGCACTGTCCATCCTTACTTATTTTTATCTGATGACTGCCCCCCCTCCCTCTCTCTCTGTCTCAATGTCTCCCTTTCGCTTCCCGACATCTACCAGGTGGCAGGGCCGATACGTGAGATGCTGAGTAGGTGATTTTAGAATATTCGTCGTGGATCATTCGATCATCCCCCGTGTGTGAGGGAGATTTGTGGAAACCATTTGAATACTAATGTGTGATTTTTACCGCACGGGATAAAAGAGGAGTCTGTGGATTGTGGAAGCAAGAGACTAAATGTGACATTGTCACCGAGCAAATATGGCAGCCAATTTTCATTTGAGATGAGTGGGATCTCACTTTAAATCTAACTCTATATCTGGGGCGTCCTGGTTTGATAATCTCTCTTACTCTACAGCCCAATCAGACCACTCAGGGTATTTACAATGCTTCAATCAGGGTGAAAAATACCTCTCTCACATCGTAGTCTGGAGGAATGGCTGCAACTTCAATTGGACAAGCAAGGCCATTTGAAAGAAGCCATTTGACAACACGTGTGGACAAGACAAAACAAAGTCATGTTTTCATTTCCGACTGCTTGCTTGTTTGTCTGTCCGTCTATTAGTTTGTTTCTAAGCGGTATTACCGAAAAAAATACTGCACAGATTACCATGAAATTCAGCGGAAGGATGGGTCAGGAAAAAACCCATTACATTTTGAGTGCAGATTCGGATCAGGGGGCGGATCAAGAAAAGGTTTTTTTCACATTAACATTGTGACATAGGGCATTTTTCAACTCAGAGAATAATTTACGCATCTTGATAAAAAGCAATCTGACATGTTTAGGGGACGGATATTTATGAGTGAGTGCAATTTAGTGTAGATCCAAATAAAAATCTGGATGTAGTGATATGTGGTTTCATTAGGGGACTGTTTGGCCTTGGCGAAGGTGTGCGCTCTGCTGAATGCCATTCTAGTTTTCATTTTTCCCTCAACAGCTTCCACTACCTTTTGTTCCCAGTGCAATAGTAAAAATGCCTTTATGTCCCCATTTTGTTAATGATTCACTGGGTCTCAGCCTTCTTGTCCCACCTCTGATTGTAGCCATGTAGAAAATGCTTTTGTCTTGTTTTTGTACAAACCAGTTTGTCTCAAATGTACCAGATGCATTACTGCACATTAAGTGACTAGTAAGTAAACTACCTCCATCTTCGGAAATGTATTTTTTGCGTTTTGCTCCGCATTAGCCTACTTAATGGATTTTGATTTAAAGCACATGATGTTGGTAATGAAATGTGTTATGTAAATGTCACTGTGGTCACAGAGGCAGAATTTAAATCAGTACATTTTACAAGTATTTTCCACACAGTTCAGTTCGGTTGTATAATATGCAGGTTAAATGGAACAATGAAATGTAATGGAGGAGAAAACAGGTCAGCAATAACCTGAGCACTAGCTGATGTGAATACTTGAGTATTCTGTTTTCTAGATAGTAGATAAATTGTATTGAAATTGGACATTTACCATTACTAATTATTTTAAAGATCATGATTTTACATGTGAAATCATTTCATATCATTTTTGAAATAACCCAATATTAGTACCACAGATTGTAGCATTGATAATGAATGATTCGATATTATAGTTTAATGAAATTTGTTTGTTATCTGACTGTGTAACTACTGATTTTTATTTTGATGTTATTGATTATGTTGCTTGAGCTGAATTCTTTTTTCTATGAATGTTCCTACCCACAGCTGTCCTCCATATTTGGTGGATGGATGTCTCATCGGCACAGCGATGGCACAGTGTGGGCTGAGGTGGCAACGACAGGCTAATGCCAAAGCATTTAAGAGAGAGGTAGACACAGAGGGAGGAGGAGGGGGGGGGTTCTTGCATCAGAAAACACTTAGGGATGCCAACAGAGTAGATGAAGCAGAGATCAATGAGGCACAATTATTGTACACACACTGTAATTGATGAACACGTGTTTTGGGAGGACTTCCTCGCGACTCTGTAAACCTTACGAGCCAATTTCAACCCAATCGAAGAGGTTCAATAAGACCAATTAACTCAAAGTGCCTTTATTTACCGGAGATACGGGTCGCCATGCTGCAGGGCGTCTGTATCTTTATTTTTGAACCCTCTATAAATAA